AACTTGGGGGCCTTTCAATCTACTCAGCTTCTGGACTTAAGGTAGGGTGCCGAACACTTCACAGTCTGAAAGGTCTGGGAAAAATGAGGATTAGTCGTACTCGATTTCACAGCTGCGACGATGATGTGGGCCTTTCTAGGTGGGCGTTCCAAGCCTGCTTTGTCTATCTGATTACTATATCGTCCTGTGCTGGCGATGATACTGCATCGATTTGAAGCAATGGTTGCACTTCCGGTAAGAAAGATACCAAATGATCCGATTCCGACTCTGATCCCGAACGCAGCATGCCGTCTGCCGCCTCAGCCCAGTTTTGTTGCAAACATAGAGGTAGACGTTCCACTACACGCCTGAGATTGGTTGGGCATTTCAAGCCCGCCATGTAATGCAACTTTCTCACTGTGAGATCACAGTTCGCCATTTCCCTTATCAGCCTTCGTAAGACATTGGCGTCTCCAGGAGCAATGGGCCCCAACCAGAAGCTCGTTCATTGATGACTGTGCTGTGTTGTGCGGGTTCCAAACTGGCTCTTCGTTAGCCTACCTTTCCAGGGAGAAACAGGCAGTGTTCAAAGCCCTCCTTGGCTCCCCCAAGGGAATTATACAGGAGGTACATAAATTTATTGCTGTCATCAAGAAGCCGGTAAGCTATGCTCATTTCGAGCGCTTCCATAAACTTTCAGAATTCTATCGGATTCCGGTTGAATTTATCTATTTCTGTTTTTGGCAGGTTGTACCCTAGCGTTGTGGTATAGCGGTCAACACGTCTGCCGCTCATTTTATGCGCCGCGATTCGAGTCCCGGCTGCGTCACCTTTTCTAGGCCGATTAGTAGCTGACTGCGTGCGTTCCATTTTTTCTGAATTAACCTTCGATAAGAATTTACCGACCTTCTGTTTCGTGGGTGGAAGCCTACGTTCACAGTCACCGGATATCAAGCTTTCATTATCAGGGGGCTCATTTGCCAACAGCATCTGCTGGCGGGACGCTAAATTCCGCTTTCTAATCTGAAGCTCCTTCATTACTATTGCGAGCTTTTCTTCCAGAATCTAATTTCCTAACCTACTTCTCTGTCTACCCGTGTGCCTGCTGGGCCTTATTCCGTGAGCTACGCTTGCCTTGGGGGGGAGATTGTTGTCAAAATAAAGGAGGCCGAGGAATGAAGATGTCAAGAGCAACAGCGCTACCGGAGTTACCTTTCATAACGTTAGCAAGTTCTGCGTTCGACGAAGTTTCGAATGACTTGCTGCTTCTAATTCTGGGCATATTATATCCAGAGTTCCAGATTCCAACTCAGCTGAAAGTCTGAGATCCACTGGGTACTCGAGACTTGATTGCTGGATTCGACTACTATGAAATAGTTTCCGGCACTCTGCTGGGCCACGTCGAGTTACGCGCTAAAACCCAAAAGCCAAATGGAAGCATATATACAAATGCGATACTATTGTAGTGGTCTGGCTACCCAATAAGTTAGTTTACCAGGAGCGTGTGGCAAGGAATTAAAAATAACAACGCTAGGTTGGTTATACAGTAATGAAGAGGTCAGATGGAACAGACTCACTAACAATTGTTCTCTTTAAAATAGTTCGTCGTCGGCCCAGGTCAGCGATTAAACAATAATCCAATTGTGTTTGTCCAGAGTTTTCTTCTGAACAGTTCCCCCGTATAATAGATTCCGAAGATGGACTGAAAGTTTTGGTACCAGAGTTAGTACATGAGACTCGCATATGGCCGCTGCAAGTGCGAGCGAAATCAGAAGAGAAAGTCGAAGCACGTGACCACGCTTGTATTTTGTGAAATTATACATGTGCGCGCTTTTGTAGTTTTCCGTATTCAAACAAAAATAAATTATACAATTGATGAAATGCGTAGTGTTATAATGGAAGTAAAATAAAGGTACAAAACGCCGCACTATAAGTAGAATAAAGAAATCAATAAACTTTACAAACCGCGAACCATGGGACTATGCCGGTTTCCATACGCCTGTTCGGGGACTGCTAATTCCTAACGGGTCTCCAAGTCCACGCCGACTCAAAGCCACGTGTTCGCAAGCTGGTGGTACCGTGTGTGATTTTGAACAACACGTCCGATGACAAGGTAAAGAACAGCTTATGTTGAAGTCAAGAACTCGAAGAAAGGTATAGGTGAAAAACAAAACAACAAAAAGAAGGAATTGCATTGTGCAACGTAAAAACAGAAAAAATGAATCAACACTTATGACGAACGACAACTTAATCCGCCCCAGAGAGCGATCGGAGTGAATTGTCTATTCGCACATTTCTCTTGTTCCGCTTATCGCAAAACCTATCACCGATCAGTAACATCCATGTTTACCGTAAGGTTTCGCGCAAGAACAGCTAGGAAGCAAGGCTTACAGATTTTACAATAACCCGGAAATCGCCGGAGGTTGATGGATGAACAGCTTTCTGATGTTCGGTTGCGAAAACTTAGAGGCGTTCAGCATCTTAAAGGGCACGGGATATACAGATTTACGGATCGATAGACGGGATCGAAGCTCCCACCCGCGTCAGTTCAGTTCATGTCCTTCAGCGGCTGATGTTCGCCTAAGAACTACAAGTGAAAAAAGGATGTAGCACTGCTCTTTAGGTTCTAAGCAAAGGGCACCAAGTTTTCGAGCACGAGGACTCGTATAGGTAGGCGTCCAATGGTGCTTTGAACACGGTTCTAGAAGGGGCGTGGACAACCGTCGGAGGAAGGTTATTCCACGCAGCCATTTCCCTAAACGGGGAAAATTTTCTAAATGAAAGTGTGCGCCCTGAGCTCGGAAGTCTTCTTGCTGTCTCCTCGGCATGTGTTTGCTGGGTCGACGGTGAAAAACCTGTTGGTCAAGCCTTGTTCCACACAGTGCATAAGTAAGGAAAAGATCCATTCAGAGGTGATAATCCAGGAAAGGGGGTCAAGCACCGCGAGACGCGTCTCGTAGCCCACGGGTTTGGGGCCGGCAACCACTTTCGCAGCATTTCGCTGGACACGCTCAGTGAAGGTTATGGCTTTGTTGCGTCCTTTGTAGACAACTTGGTTGGCATATTTAAGGTGCCGTCTGACCTAGTCCACATGGAGTATTTGGAAGTCCCCGAGATTAATACAGGAGAAGGTGAGCCGAACCATCCATAAAGTGGTAAACGTTTTTTGGAGCGATTTCTAATGGCGTAGTGAAAAGTCAAGTTTGAAGAGAGCCAGATACCCAAATCCTTTTTGGTGACTATCCTGATGATGTTTTCTGGTCCATGATCACCATGAACAAGAAATGCATTCGCTGAGTCACCACCGAATGACATATGGACGCACTTTTCATCATTGATATGAAGATTCCAATCATGCGACCACTACTTTGCAGCATCTACATGTATTTGGGGGGCAGTGGTATTTGAACCCCATGGGCTAAAGTCGCCAGCCAATTAATTAGACATGGACTTGAAATAACCGTGGAGGGTCGTTAACGTATATCAGAAATAGGAGTGGTCCCAAGACAGAGCCTTGAGGGACTCCTAAAATGAGTGGCGCTGGAGAAGATACGGTCAAGCTACCTTCCCTCGGAATGTTCTGTCTGAAAAGAACGCTTTAATCCAGTGTAGGGTTTTCTCTTGAATCCCATGAGAGTCGAGTTTATGAAGCTGTGGGACCTGTGGAACTCGACCGAATGCTTCTGAGAGGTCCAATAGCATGATGAAAAGACATGACATTCTTTCGGCCTTAGCTTGATTTAAGTTGCCCATAAGTACAAGCGTGTTCATCATGTAAAAGGTGTTTGGGGGGAACCCATGTTGCACCGAGGACACCAAGTTCTTAGTACTGAGGTCACTTAAGATGGTCCGCTTCAGAGTGCGTCCCATCACCTTGCATTCTACGTTAGTGAATCTAATAGACCTATAATTACCGGACGATAGTCGGTCAACAGTTTCAAAGACTGGCGTGACAATCGCTTCCTTTCAAGCAAAGGGAAGGTTGCCTTCGTCGAGAGACCAACGGGACACTAGGTAGAAATGCCTTGCCAGTGTGAGCGACGTTTCCTTCAAGATCCTTGGGTGGACCTCTTCTGGCCCTGAAGCGCTAAAGGGATTTGTATTGTGCAAGAGTTGACGAACTTCCTTCGTAAGGACTGAGCTGGTCAGAAGCCGCTAGTAGTTACGTCTTAAAAAGGTTGGGCGTGATGCAATCGCTGGGGCAGAATACAACCCCGTATGGTCTTGTATGTATCTTTGGAGACCATTATCGGGTCACCGGTGGGTTTCCCGCTTCTGTGTCTCGAAGAGAGGGTAGTTGGCTTGTTCCTGAGACGACGTCTCACGTATATGAACAGCACATTTCTGTTTTTCTGGGCGAGGTCCAGAATGGTGGCTTATTTTTCGTATGTTCCATTGGCGGATTTTCGATTTACAGTGGTTCGCATTTTAAGAAAAGCAAGCTCATCTTCTGTCTCCCGCAGTCAACTTTTTGGAAAATAGCTGATACCTCTTTTCCAGAAGACGCCAAATACCTTTAGGTAGTTTGCGGATCATCCTACTGCGCGCAAAAGCCTCGATCCTGTGTATCAATCGATGAATCCGTGAATCCGTGATTTTCTTGGAACAGATATCGCGTCAGCATCGTGAATATTCTGGACGATGGTTCTATATAAGCCTTCCACTGAAGCTGATCCCACTTTGACTTGTTCAAGAAAGATGTGCATTCCTAAGAAATATGCACGTAGGAGTTTCCAATCCATGTTGAAGTTTCGGGATTTCCGGCTTAATAGCACTTGAAATCATACGCCTGCACACATTAGACTTGTCAGACTCGATCAAATGCTCTCGAGAAGCCGACATAGGATAACGGGTACACGTGAGTCGTCTGCTTTTCACGCATAAAGCTCTGATAAGCTCTTTTAGAGGCTTCAATGCTCTGGTAACCATGATGCATCCTAATTTTTGTTTTCACGGACCAGCGGCTCCGCCCGCGGGTACTTTGATTTTCAACGGGTTAGCGTGCCCATCGTTCCGGTGCAATGTTGCTGCCGATTGATACGCGGAATGCTATTTACGAGAAGATTATCCAGGATGGTGTTTTGACGGCAAGAAATGATATTCGCCCCTGCTACAATCACCCAACTATTTCCACACGCAATCTTCATGTGATTAAAACTATGCGGTCACTGAAATCTCGCGGTTGGGTGCGTGAGCAGTACGCATGGCGGACCTACTACTGGTTCTTGACGAATGACGGTCTCACACACCTACGGGAGGTAAGCGCTTGGAGTAGCTTTGCCTACCCCTTTTAGGTCTTACATTTACCCTCGGATATCATTCCGGCCACTATGAAGCAACCGGCCAGGGATCTCCGCATGTTTGGGCAAGGAATGGAAGCCTCTGGGCGCGGTGCTCCTTCAGACGGCCGTGTTGCCTTTCGCCGTGGTACAGTCACTCCTGGAGCTCCCGGTTTTGGAGCACCAGGTAAGGAAGCCATGGTTGGCGAGGGCGAAGTTCACTTCCGTGGAGGATTTGGTCGCGGAAGACCTATGTAAAATGTTGGTTTGTCAATAGAAGTTTTGGCGGAATTTGACGCTTGCAATTACTTACTGTGGGCTACCAGTTGCAATTTCACTCTCTGGACCACTCGCAACCGCCACTCCCAACCCAACGCGACCAAGTTCCGTTACTGGTCCCCGTATACCATCCCCGGTAGAAAGCTATGCCTTGCTTTTCGATCGTTCAACCTGTGGTTTAGGGGATAGTGTTTGTATGCGTCAAAGTTGACAGTCAGTGGTCTTCCTGTGAAGCACTGCGTCTAGTTTCCAATTTCCTATGACTCGGTAGCCACTGATTTCAGTTAAACTTTCCACTGATTATCACCTCGTCGGTAACGGTACTTCGTGTAGTGGGCTGGTGTCACTAGCATTTGCTGGTACATTCCCTCACTGGCCTGCGTAATTGTCCCTCTTCAGCCGAGGGTGCCCATTAGCAGGTTTGATTTCTACTTGAGCATTTTGACTCAAAAATCCACCTCTGTTCCATAGTCTTGTATTTTAGCCTGTTCCATAATCTATTCTGTAGTGGTAACTACCGGTCGTTGGCTTCGGTGTAATCCCAACGTAAGCAATAAGCGGTACAACTCGACTCTGATTAGATGATAGTCTGAGGTACCAAATCGGGTCTGAAATGATTTCTGACATGCTGCAGTGCCGTATCGTCATAAAATTCATTTTTATTTTTCAGTCCTCGAGACCTGTCGGTGGGAGTATTTGCATCTCCAGACACTCGGCACAGACAGTGTGCACATCTTTGATAAGGGTTAAGTATGTTTTGCAGTGTCTCCAATTAAGCGCCGGGTGAGTTACAGTCCTGGATTCAAACATTACCTTACATTCCGTACTCTGCCTCATCCTTCTGCCAAGTGACGTTCGTTTTGAGCGAAAACCTGTCGTATGTCTTGTCTTCGACTGACTTCGAATCCATTTCTCAAGGTTCCATTGGTCCAGGCAGATAAGTATGGTAATGAAGCATCGGTATTGAACACTGATGTCATGCTGTCGATGATGATGACAGATAAGACTTAAGTCTAGTTGGTGTAACTTCGGAAGCTCAGATGACTGCAGAAGAGGTTCGAAAAACGTGTAGACCGACAAGATAACGATTTCTCAGGTCTTGTTTTACAGTCTGCTGTGGAGTCTCTAGTTACAACTGCTGTTTTTGCGGATGATCGCACTGATGGAATGGTACCAATACTTGTAAAATTCAAAAACTATGGCTTGTTCAACCTGTCTTTTTGTCTCACCATACCGGTCACTGAATTGTCGGTAGGTCGACGTGTACAGCGGCAGAGTGCCTTTTTTGGCCTCGCTCTCCAGTCATGCCTATCCTCACCATTATTCCACCGACACATATGCTGACTTCGAGCGTATGACCCATTTTTCTTCTAGCTCTGTTGCCTGCCCGTTCCACCTACTGCAATCTTGTTTAAGTTCGCGTTTGTACGACAGGTTGTGAGGTTGCGTTGCTTCAAGGTTAACCCAAGTAAACCCGCAACCTTAATGTTTCGTAACTTCTGGTTTGCATTAAGATCTGTCGGTCGGCCAGTTCCAAGCACATCTAGTCAGAATTTAGTGGAAGTCCGGTCCCCGTATTCGCATGCGTTTGAGTGTGTAGGTGTTTGCGGGAATCTCCGATGACCTTTCCAAGAGCGCTCAACAAAGATGGATGTGCTCTCCATACTTGCTTAACATCACCGTCGATGAATTACTGAGGCCAACACGTGAGGATCTGCAAAACCCGGATTTCGAATCCTTGCAGGTGAAAGCTTTGTCGATTTGGAGTGTACAGACTATTTCGTCCTCATGTCCAAGTATGACCGTGAAGTGCAAGCCCCTTTTGCCCTTGTCTCTGAGATGTTATCCTTCCACTGGAGGATAGTGCAGGTTTATTGATCTGTACTGCAACACTTCATTCTCGTCGATTCGCGGGAATGCACGGAAGACCATCCGCTTTTTTCGGCTTTCAGTACTTTAGATGGCTTGCAGGACAGGCTTACCGACGTATGATTCGGCGTTAGTTACCCACTCCTTCGGGTGTTAACCAACTCTGACATGGGTCTTGGTAAAAGGTTTTCCTCAAGTTCTTCAACCAGTTTCCATATCCTCACTCACTCTCCGTTGGTTTGGCGGACTTTCATCATCTAATCGCTTAAGATGCACTTCACACCCAAAAAGTGCCCATCCGGGATTCCGAATATGCGGTTTTCGATTCCATGAGTTGAGCTTGTGGCATTAATCAAGGTTGCATTATCTGATAAAATCATTTTCAGCACGTGACAACGTCCGTCAACTGGCGCTAATTGGCGTCAAAAGACATCACTGGTTTTCAAGGGTCATGTGTATTCGGTCTGTGCTTTGTGGTTTGAGGGTATGACCCGCGCGAGCCATTGATCTGATAGGACCGATTTGAGGGCGTTCCCAGCATTCGATTCCCTCTTCATCCTTTCGGATTCACCAAGCTTTCCGATTTGCATGGATGCTCAGTTTCACCTAGCTTTGGATGATGCGTCAGGTTGAATTGTGGTTACTATCAGGGTGAATCCGTCGCCCTGCAACGAAGTCACGGTTTTATCAAAGACTCAATACTTGGATGAAGTTGACTGGGTCCTACTGCGGGTAGAATTCTCGGCATCGAGTAGGGCTTTAGGAATCCGTCTACAGTGATCGTTAACATCCGAAATCGGACCAGCCTGCAGCCTTTGGGGGACCCAGTTATGATGGGTTCCTTTGATTTCTAGGTGTGTGAACCCTTCAGTTGCTAAGTGGGATGTAAGCTTGAGAAACCGTGGCGGACAAATCGTCACCATCGGTAGCATAACACCACTGTTCAAACTAGTGCTTTGCTGCTGCGACGGACGAATGCGTTGCCGGAGTTCACACAAGCATCCCCGAAAGGACAGGCAGTGATGGACTCTTTCCACCGGTGACTACTCGCAATATGGTCTTCTGGGATACTGGACTGGTCCGATGGTGGGCACCACGTCAAGCGATCCACGCTGTTCCGTAAATAGGTACTGTGGTCGGTAAACATCTGCAGCAGACCCTCCGTTTTCTGTGCGTCCTATGTCCAGCCTAAGGCAGCCACCTGCTTGGGTGGCAGCAGCGCTCAGTTTGCATACCATCAACCACAGCTGTATCTGAGCATTTACCTCTTATAGGGACACCTAGGGCATCATGGAAGCATTCTCGACAGATTCGTGTCCACAGTCCGTCGGGACGTAAGCAGATACAATGAACCTCGCTTTCTCGAGATTGTTTCATAGACGTGGCCAAATGAACTGCACAGCGGCGACTTTCAAAGGGTATCCAAATCAAGACCGATCGCTCAATATAATCTGCACATCGACATATTCATCTGCAGCGGCCTCCGTATCATTATAGGTTTGTGGTCGGAAGTGGGAAAGAGACAGTCAGTTCGATTTCATTACTTGCGTCCTGGATCCTTTTTTTCTGATAAACCACGAATATCACTGCCAAGGGAATCCAGTGTGCGAGCAAGAACCGCTTGTCCTGCTTGCCTCAGTCTATGAACATTATGGACAGCCAAGTTGATTGGGTTTTGGAGTTTGCGAACAGGCTTCGGGGCCGTCAGGGTCGTTAATAAAGTCGGGCGCACAGAGACTGCTGCTAAGTGCAGCGCATGGTGAAATAAGCAGTCCGTTTTAGTTCTGGTACCTGCAGAGATAGCGTTCACACTGAAGCGAGGAAAGGAAATAAGTGAACGTGTAAGACGAGCGGCCTCAGCGGTAGTCATTTTGCTTACCTGCCCGCTGAATGCGGCAAGGTAGGCGACCCGCCTGATGTGAGCGAGCGACAGCCGATTTGGGATGTTCATGGTTACCTGCGGACTGGGCTAATGCCAGGGCGCTCACATCTAGACAAAGGACGATTAGGGTCTTCATCCGGCTTAAAAGCCCGACCTCAAGGCAGCAGGTGGGTGCCGGTTCTGTACTACATTAGTACATGCTAATTTTAGCGAACCATTCGCCGTGCTCCTAATTTAAAGGTTCACTAGACTTCGATAGACCTTTATCCACTGACCAACTTGGTGCAGGTGGCTAAGTGAAACCCCCGAGTATAGGTTAATACGCAGACCGCCACATCGCGATGAAGTCCAGTCTCTGTAGCTGTATTTCGTTTTACTGTGTTTTTCTCGTGCCCCCCCTTCCCACGAAATGTCGCAAGCTGTGTACAGCTGACTAAAGGCACAGCTACTGTTAGCTAATTCTAGCGGCGTTATTGCTTGTTCGTTTGTCTTGTTTTTCTGCAATGGACTTCAGAACACCACTGTCAGCGCTGATATCGTCTTCGATGCTGGTTATGGCGGTTATACAATATGCCTCCCTGAGGGCTTAGGTAAACATGGAAACATTTAGAATTCTATATGCTGTTCACGAACACATGCCTGGCCCACGATCGTTTGGGCTTTTTTGCACAAGAACGATGGTCCGATGTCGGATATAAACGGCCGCTGGGAAAAGATATCCAAAGCGCTACTCAAAGCCTGAATGTCTGTTTGCGACGCAGCCCAGCCAACCTCATCCAAACATCTGAATCTCTGATGGGACCATGTCTTTGCTGGAGACTGATTCCTCCTGGCTGCAACCACATCTTCACTCGGTGCATCATCCGACGCCAGATGAAATTAATTGTCCGTTCCGACCAAGAAACTTGGTGGACCCGAAAGGCCGAAGAAATGGGATATGTAAAGAATGCGTTTCACTTGATTCTTTCGACTGGGTCCTCGGAAACCTCTTGTCAGCGGAGTGATCGGCTCCCTGATATGCAAGAAAGCAAAATGTCTGGACCGCTGGGCACAGTAGTTCGAACAACAATTCAGCTGGCCACCTGCTGCCTCTAATCCAGAATCCTGGCCTTCAACAGAAAACTGAACCGTAAATATGGAGCCGTCTTCAGTCTCGGAAGTGTCTCTACTCAAGTTGGTCGTGACGACCTTCCATCTGCTCTTTTCAAGGATGGCGGTTGGCTTCTCA